CCTCGTAATCCTAATGTGTGTGTTTGTGTCGGTTTATGTGTGTGTATGAAAACCAGAAAAAAGACCCTTGATTGCAAGCATCAACCAGAGGGGCTTAGGTCCCTGTTGGCATGGCAACATGCAGAATGGATGGCAGTATGCGTGTGTGTTTGTGTGCGTGCATGCAAGAGCGGGGGTGGGTTGAGCAGGTGGACTGTGGACGAGGAAGGAAGTCAGTGCTTATCCAGTGCACTTAGCTTTATTGGTTGATTGGCCAGTTAATTAGTAGGTAATTAATGAGAAGGAGCCAGCTGTAATCTGCTGAAAGTAAAACAAGGGGTAGATGAGGTAAACTGCATGTCTGTGTGTGTCCCATGGACACATTTGCATATCTGCTTGCAGGGGGTGCATGCAGTCACCTGCGTGAGAGTTCATAAATAAATATGAAAATGATGGACTGAGTATGAGCGTCACTCTGTCGCTTACTGTCGAGGGATTCAACCGTCTTTTCAGCAGTTCAGCCTGAAATGCATGAAGTCTCTGTCACATTTATTTCAGTGTTAAACACACACTCACAACCAAAACACTGGAAGGTGTGTGAGAGCCCACTGTGGCCCCTGATGTAAAGAGTAATGTTGTAGACTATATATATATATAATATATATATTATAATATTATATATATAATAATATATATAATATATATATTAATATATATATATATATATATTAATAATATATATATATATAAATAAATAAGACAGAGACGTGCGGTTTCAATAATACATAATACATCTCCGTTTTGAGATGTTGTGAGAATACAACAATAATTTAGTGTTAGTGCCACCTGTGTTGCAGTAAAACTATGATCCCACAATAAATACCCTACAAAACCAGCTGATACTAGCCATGGGGGTATCATCGTCTTAACCACCACCAGCCAACATGGTCTTCACAGCGAAATGACGACTTCTTCGCGGTTTCAAATCAAAGAGCAGCACTCCCTGGAGCCCGCCGACATACTTACTGATGCAGAGCTGCGTAAAGGCAGCCACAGAGAACAAGCAGAGAACAAGTCTGGAAGATGGTCAGTGTCAGAGTGTCAGAGTTCAAATTAAAACTTGGAAGACTTGAAGTTTTGCAGGACTAACTTCTTGTACACCCCCCTTCTGTGTGGGTTTACTGCATTTACACTTTTTAAATTTATTTTAATTATAATTTAATGTAAATGAGTTTATTGCTACTACTACTACTACTAATAATAATAATAATGTGATCCCCATGGGGAAAATACATTTCTCTCTGCATTTGACCCATTCACTCAGTAAAGCAATGGGCAGCACTAAGCAGGCACACCGGGGAGCAGTGTGTAGGGACGGTACCTTGCTCAGGGGTACCTCGTAGCCGTTCAGTGGATTCGAACCTTCCGATCGTGGGGCCACCACTCTACCTACTGAGCTATCCCTGTCCCCTTTTGCCTAGTGCTTCGCCTGAGCCTCTCGGTTCTTCACAAAGAACACTGCAGCATTTTCCAACAGCGACATATACAAATGAAAAATGTCTCTATGCGACCAATGAGGGCTGTGGATGGTAACTTAAGACAGCGACAACCTGCCCCGGGTTACAGACTCCAAACATCTGTTTGTGGTGAAATTATGATTCTAATGCTTCCAGTTAAGCCGATAAACAGAAGTAATAAAAGCCAGCAGTCCATGCCAAGACGACCAAATTCACTGTGATTAAAAACAGTTACAAGCGGAAATCATCTTTTCTGAATGAGCATGTTTACTGACCCTGTCGGTTTACCCTTTTAATGAACAAGTAGGCATTTGGGGATAAAAGGAGAGCAGGCGAAGACGACGGCATGAGAAAGGCTCTCAGGTTAAGAGATAGCCAGCTTTAACGTAATACACACAACTGTTTCACACAGTGGGAAAGTCATTTGGCGTATCTGTTTTGTTTTCTGTAGTATATCATTGGCGTTTGAAAAAGAGACTGAGTATTCCAAAGCAGCAAGAGTTGGCGAGTTTGGCAGTTGTTGTCATTTTGTTGCCAAGACCGCTCTCCATGTAAACAGCCTGCTTTCTTTCTCTTTGAGATTTTTCACCCTCCAGAACCTATGCGCGCCACGCTGCTCATTAAAATAACAGAAAAAAAAAATATTTAGTGAGCTGTGCCCTCTCTTGCCAAAGAAAAAGAGCTTTTGGTCCCCGGCTATTATTTTCTCATATTAGTAAATAGCGAGTATCCTTGCTGCTGAGGCCACACCGCTCTTACCTTTCCGTTTTTGTGGGAAACCTTTCAGTTTGCTGTGAGCGTGGAAAGTTGGAGAAAGAACTTCGTTTATAGTTACCCTGCTCCCATCTTTCCCTCCACACTGGTGCCACATTGGAGGTATGGAGAACAGAGCCCACCAGATATTGTGTCATATTGGTTTAACTGGAGAGGAAGTGGATGAGCCACACAATAATAGGAAATGCCATAACAATTGCCAACCGCTGCAGGACATCGGCGACATCCTCCAGCAGATCATCACAGATGAGAGGATGAGGCCCAGGCCAGGTAATAACAGAGGTACAATGTGAGAATTAGATTTGAGACACTGGATTGGAGGGATTCGGTATCCCTCCGAGTTGAATGGTGGTTCCACTTCTCACTCATCACACACTGAAACTACCAATCCCCAATACTGCTGAATCCTTTTGCACCTCAGAATATCTCCATCTTTATCCCATAGCCCAGACCAACAGGATCCATCATCTCACTATAAATACAAAGCTGAGTTTGTAAGTCACCTGTGATTCATTGACCAACGTGGCAGTAATGCTAAATAATGACTAAATAAACCAGAGAAAAAATGAGAAAGGATTTGATCTGAGTAAGGAGTTCTTGATCTGAATTTTTTTATTTGTTATATGAGTGTATTCACCGTGTATCTGCTGTAATTCACTTATAAGACTGCCGGAACCCCTTCAACACACAGTGCCATTCATGAATCTTTAGAATACTGGACTTCGGCAGCAATCCATTCGTTCTTCCACCATCTGAAACAAGACATTTTAGCTCCTCTCCTTTTATTGGCTTCCAAAGACTTAGCATTTTCTAGCAAAAAAATAAAAACCAGAAATACTCTGGTTTTGTCTTCTGGGTGCTTGTTTTACTGTAAATTTACTGAAAAATGATCAGTATTGTTACTGTTTCTGTCACACGGCTGCAATTAGTCATAGCAAAAACTT